CGCGCCTCTGCCGGCGCCGCGGCCCCGGCCGCCAGCTCGGAGGTGGAGTACCTGAACGTGCGCCTGAGCCTGCGGGAGCCCCCGGCCGGTAAGCGCGGGCCGCCGCCTGGGTCTCCCCGCCGAGCCGCGGGCAGCTAAGGAGGGCCTGGGAGGGGGCGCGCGGGCAGTCTGCCCACCTGGCACGTGGGCCCGGGGCAGGCTTCCGGAGTGGGGGGGGGTCCGTCCCAGGAGCGACTGGAGCCTCGGTGTGGGTCACAGGTGAGTAGGGGGTAGTAGCCACGACTCCGGCCAACCTCACGGTCACCGAGGGACGCCGCGCTTTGGGTGCGCGGCTCTACCTGACGCCCCGCCCCTGGCTCTCTGGGGCCTGAGCAGTACCAGCGTCTCTGGAGCTTCTAGGACTGCGGAGGGAGTGGGCTGTCGGTTGCCATGGGAACCTGTGATTGGACAGTGGAGACTTGCGGCGCCTGGTCTTGTCACTGGCCCAAGGAGGGAGGGCGAAACTGGAGTCCACGAGGTTCTGTTTTGTGGTGTCCAGGGCTTATGGCCTCCACTTCTTCCCATCCCGGACCTGGACACGTTTGGGTTCATGATGAATTAGCAGAAACTCGGTCTTGGGAAGAGGGAAGTAGTTCCTGAGGGGTAGGGGTTCAAAGAAAGTATTTCTGAACTTGACCGAAATACTTGGGTTTCTTTCTGTTGGGGAATGGGCAGCTTCGTAAGAGGGCCTCTTCCTGATATCGCTGCTTTTTGGTTCCTTGGCATCTTCGTGGGTTTTTGGTTCTTTTCCCCTCTCCTCTTCTAGTCTCTCTCTACCACCTTCCACACCAACCCCTCAAAAGGTCTTTAGAGAGTGCCATCCGGGCATTTCTGAAAGACCCTTTCTGCTCACTTTTGTGAAGTTCAGTTAGTAGTGTGGGCTTTTTCAGAAGTACCCATGTGGGGACCCACTGAATGGGTGTTCTGTTAACATTAGGTACAAAAATTGGTCCTCTTAATCATGACATTTCGAAGAACCATAGGTCTTAGCCTTCTTGCAGTAGGTGGAAACTATTTTAAACTTTTATCTTTCTGCCTCATCAATTTTCATCTATCAAATAACATAACTTTACACACTCTCGCCCCTTGAAGACTAAAACTTTCTATCTATATTCTTAGTCCTTGCTATGTCTTACCATAAAATAGGCCGCGTGGCTTTGCCTTATCCTGTTGCGGGCACAGTCGGGTTCTCAAGGTATGTGATAATCTGAGTGACCCCAAAATTGTAGTGAGGAGAGCCATATTTGGAATAGTGTGTTAAGTGATAGTCCTTACCTGCCTTCATGGCCTTTCCTCAGTATGACTTCCAGGGTCAGCCGGTGCCTGCCTCCCCCAGTGGTCATAGAAAACACCCATTTTCAAGATGGCTGAGTGGAGTAAAGAGCCATGGGAGAGAGGCAGAAATTGATTTTTGTCCAGGACTTTGGTCTCTCTGAATCTCTGGGTCCATAACTACTGAGTAAATAGATGTAAAGTTAAAAGTAGTGGAATCTGGGGTTAGCAATGAAAATTTGCTTTGGTAAAATCTGAGCTAACATCGTTTTTTGATCACAAATCAGATCCTGTTTTTTCACTCTGATGGAATGGTATGTTTAAACCTAAATAATTTGAAAATCTTCAACTTGTTTTAGGATGTATCATGACAGTTATTGGCATCAACTATATTTTACTTAAAATAATAATCTCTTTTAGTTGAGTGGGGAAAAATAGCCCCTAATATTGATAGTTTTGAAAAAGATAGTAACTTGACATTGTCCTAGATTCTCAGAGTCAGTTAATTACAAAACCTGGTTGTGTTTTAATCACCTAAAAAGATTTGTAGAAATCTAGATTTCTGGGAAATGTGACCCTTGGATCTATTTTCAAAAATACCCTCAGATAATTCTTTGACATTGTTAATCAAATTCAAATACTTGCTATCATTGTGTTTGCAATTTTTCTTTTCTTTCTTTTCTTTTTTTTTTTTTTTTAGAAATTGCAATAGAAAGACAAGACAGAACCAGAGAGCTGGTTTCGGTTCTTGGTCACCCACCAGCAGTGTGGCCTTATGCAAGTCCCTTACCCTACCTGAGCCCCAGTCTGTGCTTCTGTAATGGTCTTCTAAATCCCAGAGCTTTATGAACTTAGCTATAAAACCATTGGTGAATGAAACATTTTCCTGTGACTTCGTAACCCTGTATATAGGATAGAAGTAATGAGCCATGAGAACAGAAGAAGCTTGTGAAAGTTTTAAATTAAAAACAATAAAAATTAAAAAGAAGGAAAGTAAACAAAGATTTGATCCTAAATACTATAACCCATTTTTATCTTTTTTTGAATTTTTTTTTCCTGTTTATGTTTTGAGATGACTGAAGGGCTCATTTTAAATGACACAGTTCCTATGTTTATTTGATGTCCTATAAGGGAGAAACTTCATCTCTCTCTTTTATCCACTTCCAATATCCTGGGCAACTCCACACATGCCTGGTAGGTATGCCCTTCCTCGTGCTGTTCCTTTCATCTAAACCCCTTCCTGCTTGTCTCCATTCCAGCCCTCAGGTTCTCAAGGTGTCAGGCGCATCCACATTCCTCTGTGGATGGATGCTCTGCATTCTAGCATGTTATGATCATTACTTGGGTACAAGTGCCTCTTCTCCTTTCCTGCCTCTGATCTTTTGAGGATTATTAATAGTGCCTGAATTCTAAGCACTATACATTTTGCACTCAAGTGAAATCCACGTTTTTAAACAGTTGTAAATACCTGGTCATATTCTGTAATCTAAAAATTACAAATTAGAACATCAGTCAAGTTCTCTCAGGAACTTTGGTATTGCCATGAGCCTTTCACTTGATATAGCTATAAAGTTGAGAGGCTTCCCGCCTTCCAGTGCTGTAGCTTTGCTGTAGCACTCCTGAGCCACCTGAGCCCCTGGGACTCACGCTGTCACTGTCATTTAGCACGATCTCATGTCTCTGTGACTTGTGCTTTTTCTGTGTTATCTCCAGTCACCCACCTGTGGAGTATTTCTGTTCAGATGGACTTAAGTGGCAGATACATTCCTTTTTTCCCCAAACACCAATGTATTACACATTGCAAATTGAAAATAGATTCAGAAGACTTAATGATTCAAAACACATTTAATAATGTGTTCCTATTTCCTAAAAGTATAAGATTGAAGTGTTAACTGACTTGTTTAGGGTCATAAAACTCTAATAATTAAGTGAAGAAAAAAAATCCCATTTTACTGTTGATTTTTACCCTTTAAAAAATTCTTAAATGAACAGATACAGTAGAAATCTTAATTTTAGATCAGGTGACCTGGCCAGTCTCAAAGTTCTCTCTTTTTGCTTACCCTTTCTTCATCTTATTTATCCTAGCCACAATGAGGGAATTTAGTATTGAATATGAGCAGAAAATGAAAGGAGAGTATAAGTATCTCTGGAGAGCCACCCAACCAACACTGAAAACCGTGGAGTCTTCTTTGGATTTGAGTTGCGTGTATTGTCTATGCACATTCATCAGAGGTTTCAGCGGGACCTCTGACCTTATAAGGTCCATCCAAACCCTGCATTTTGGCCCTCTTACAATCAGTGATAAGCCTTTCTCTGTGTGAAATAAAAGGGAGATGGCCACCCAAAGCAGGGGAAAGGGCCATGACTGTGCTTGGTGAAGCCTTTTGTATATTACAAGCTAACTACCAAGAAACCTTATTAATCAGTAGAGCTCAAGGGTAACTACCTGTTAGCTTGTTAATTTGGCAGTTTTGTATTACACCCACTATTAAAAGGCATAATATTGCACTTTCTTTTTCATCTCTGCCTAAAGAATACATAGTGTGATTTTTATGGTATACTCAAAGTAAAGTTATCTTTTGCTAAATTCATTTTTGGTCCAATTTTATATTGGTATATTATGTCAGTTTAATAGAGTGGGGTAAAAAATTTTGATCTTTTTAATATACACACATATACCTGTGTGTATGCACATACGTATGTATGTTGGAGCTCTGGGGGCTTTGTGGTAATTCTGGACATTCTTTTGCAACATTACTTGTGAAATTGGGCTATTTGAGGATGGAATAGGTTTGTGTGTATATGTTTGTGTGTTACTTGGTAAAAACTGATTCAAATTTAATTATATAAATCTGTTTAATGAACTTTTGAAGTATACTAAATTTTATAGCCAGGAAAACCTCCCTCATAAACTATGATTTAGGTTGTGAGAACTCTTTACCTAATGCTAAGCTTAGTTAAAATAAAATGTAATCTCTTATAGGTGAAGGCATCATTTTATTACAGCCTGGAAAACATGAATTTCCATTTCGTTTTCAACTTCCATCTGAGTAAGTGAAATTATAATTTTGCGATTCTCTTCCCCTGCAATATATTCATCCAAATGTATTGGTAGCAGGTACCTTCTGACTCTCAGGTGTGTGCATTCATACTGAATATCTATAAATAGACTTATTCTATTTTTTTTCCCAACATAAAACAACATTTTAAACCATGCTTTTTCTGATTTTGTTTAACTTAAAAATAAACTTGTAAATTAATGTCTTTGGTTTATTTCAGACCTTTGGTCACCTCATTTACTGGGAAATATGGAAGCATTCAGTACTGTGTGCGGGCAATTTTGGAACGACCCAAGATACCTGATCAGAGTGTAAAGCGGGAACTCCAGGTTGTTAGTCATGTCGATGTCAACTCACCAGCATTATTAGTAAGTTCTTCCTCTTTCCTTCCCTTTCTCCTTCCTTTCTATAGTGGTATCTATATTTAGCCAGTTTAGTGATAATCTGTCCTGTCATTTTCTGATGGCTTACAAAATACAATCTTGTAACCCAAAAGCATTCACTATAAATATATGATTCTAGGTTGGACAAATTACAATTGTGTGTGTTAATACTATTGATTATGTCCCTGCTGTTCAGGGCTTCTTTTGCCAAAAAGTTACACAGGCTTGAAATGCATTAATAAGGCTTAATAACAATAATGCACACACAGAGAGTAGTTACTTTTACCAGAGCGGCCACATTTACAGGACTGGGGTATTCTAAACTCCTCAATAATAGCAGGTTGAGGAACAGTAATTATGGAAGAGTATTAATCATGCTCAGCCTGTTATTGAAACTCAGGCCATTATGCTATGTATCCTTCCATTTTGCATGTCATTTTCTAACATTAAGTAAGTGCATGCAGCTGCCGCTGAGATCCTTTCACTTATCATTTCCTTATGACAGATTTGGCCACATTAAAGCATTGAACTTCTAATAATCACCAGAAATACTGTAGACTGATAAGAAAGATCAGGCTATAAGTAACAACAGAATAGGCAAGATGGGAGCTAATGAGCTAGATTCTTTTATCTAAACCCATATTATCAAAATAATATAAAATTATACCTTGTACTTTCATGATAGCTACTAGGACCTAATGGTTCTTCATTCATATTTAAATGAAGAAAAAAAATCATTTTTTTACTTCATAGAAAATACTGAGATAATTTAAACTTTCCATCATGATACTGATGTGACAAAGATGTATTTTTAGTGTTGGAAGTTTCTTTTTCTAACCAGTGTTTTTAAAGACAAGGAAAAAACCAGCAGTTAAAAAAGTTGTTTAGCTCTTATTTTCACATGAAAAAGAAATAGAATTTACTTTAATGTTCACCTTTAGCTTATGAAAAGACAAATATGCTATGGTTATGTGGTCTCTTGTGGCCAAAATCATAAAATAGCCAGCACCCAGCTGATTTGGCTTATAGCTATGACTTTAACAGCTACTTTAAAAACCTTTTTGGTGAAAATTGGTGATGCTATGTCTTACATTTTTTAAAACTACGTAGACTTGGTAAGCTAAATATTTCTAAGGTCTTTATGACCATTGTGGAAATTGATTTAAAGGGGTTTTGTTTCTGCCAAAAACAAACACTATTTTTTACTATTCTTTCTATAAATAAGTAAACTGCAAATAACTTTGGGTTTTATAGGAAGCTTTTGGTGTATGCAACTTGTAAACTGAATATTTTAAATCTTGTTTTATCTATCTTGATACAACAGAGTAGAATAGACTAATGTAGTAAAGTAGTGGGTTTAATAACCTTTTCAGATTTGTAAACACTATTACACAAAACCCGAAAACCATTTCAAGTTAAGGACACTTGAAATTTCTGCCTGATGATGCATTTTAAAGTAAGGGGAAAAGACTGCTTATTTCAGTGACTAAATGTCAAAATAAATATAACATTCTGAGTATTAATTTTTATATCATTTTTCCTTTTACCTGATCTGTATGTAGAGTTTTAAAAAAAATTAGTTCTGTCATGTTTATAGGTACTAATAGAGCTTTTGATTACTTTTTTAAAAAACAGCATATCATTTCCTAGAAATATAATAACTTCAGGGTAAAATAGGATGATATGCTAATTTGAATCTGAAAATTCACCTTAGTTTTCCTAAAAAAAAAAAAAAAAATAGGTTTTGGTGTTTTTTTTTTGAGTTGGAGTTTCACTCTGTCACCCAGACTGGAGTGCAATGGCCGCTCCCGGCCACCGCAGCCTTGACCTGCTGTTCTCTGGCGATCCTTCCACCTCAGCCTTCCAAGTAGCTGGAACTACAGGCGTGTGCTACCACACCCGGCTGATTTTTTGATTTATTGTAGAGATGAGGTCTCACCAAGTTGTCCAGGCGGGTCTCGAACCCACGGGCTCAGGCAAAAGAGAATAGTTTTAACACTCTGTGTTTCAATACATATTTTGCCTAATATGTTACACAAGGATAAGAAAGGTCAGTTTGTTTTTCGGTAGGTATTTCTTCACAACTATTCTATGAAGAAAGATACATTTTTAACGTCTATGAGTTCTTTAGAGTGGTTTAATTAAGGTCATTTTATTATTTGAAATTTTCAAGACCCCTGTATTGAAAACCCAAGAGAAAATGGTTGGCTGTTGGTTTTTCACTTCCGGTCCAGTCTCGCTGAGTGCCAAAATTGAAAGAAAGGGATACTGTAATGGTAAGCAGAATATCTGAAAGTCTTCATGAAAGATTCTTTGATTTTATTAGTTAATTGTAAGTGATTTTTAAACTGTATGTTTTGTAATGTATGAAGTATATGGTATTTTACAGCATGAACAATAGTAAAATGTTTTTAACATAAATAATCAATATTTAAATATTTTTAAATGGATAAGTAGGTTCCAGTAAGACTCAGGGTTTTCTGACTTCAATTCTGTTGTTTCCATAACAGAGAGTAAAACTGGAGGAGTGGGAAAATGCCAGCATCTTATTTTGATGTTGCAAAAGAATGTCCAGAATTGTGTCACTCAGGAGCTATTGTAGTATGAACTGCTGTTAGACATTCTGCTTCCATGCTGGCTTGAGATACACAAATATATGGTACTAGAATGTAGAACATTAACATTAACAAACCAGTCAAGTTGATATTAAAACTACCATTTGTGAAGGACCCATTTCCAGCAGTGTGTTTGGTGCTCGCCCAGGATTCTGGCTTGTTGAAAAGGAATGCGGTATGGAATGGTAGGGTGTGGATGCATGTTGTTGTAAAACTTGCCTACCCCATTCATTGATTTATTTGTACCTTAACATTATTAATTCCTTAAAAGCAAAGGCTTTGTTCTCCTGTTGGGCAGATTTTAATTTGATAGGCACTAATGAGTTTGTTAGTGATCTTTTATACTTAACATAGTACTGAATCATTTATTTGTATGTCTTATCTTAATTTATCTAGATACTGGTCATTTACATATCTTTAGAATTGCTAATGTAATATTGCTACAATAGAAAACCAGCAGTGAATTTTCATTTCTTTGGCTCAGATTTGCAATGCGTTTTCCATCAGGACTTCTCAGTTTGTTTTAAAGTAACATTGGAACATTTCAGCTTTAATTGACAATGGCTATATTCCATTGTGGAGAGAATATACTGAAAGATGTCTGAATCCTCCCTGCTTTTGTTTTCTTTTTAGGAGAAGCTATTCCAATCTATGCAGAAATAGAGAATTGTTCCTCTCGTCTGATTGTTCCCAAGGCCGCTATTTTCCAAACCCAGACATATTTGGCTAGTGGAAGAACTAAGACTGTCCGTCACATGGTTGCCAATGTGCGAGGAAACCACATAGCTTCTGGGAGCACTGACACATGGAACGGGAAAACTCTAAAAATTCCACCTGTTACTCCGTCCATCCTGGATTGCTGTATTATCAGAGTGGACTATTCCTTAGCTGTAAGCAGAGCTCTGTTAATGTAAAAAATATGTGGATTGGAGCAATAGCTGGTCTCATGTTAATGTGCATGTGTACAGTTACTTGGGAAAATGTAATTTAATGTCAGCATTACCACCAGTTGTGGAATATGTGAAGACTGGCCTTTGTTTTTAATCAAAAACTATCTTTCCCAAGGGTTTGAATAAAATAACATCAAAGAACTGAGGTTCAGCAAGGGGTGCTTGTAATAATGAAGATACATACTTAATTTTCTATAATAATTACGTACACCTTGCCAACTTACAGTGAAGTATGTTAAGGCCACAATTCCCTATTACAGAGTTCCCTGTGTTTTGTGTATGCTTCATTTTGTTTAGTCAGGACAATTTAGAATTGTAATGGTGGGGTGGTGGCAGGTAACAAAAGGCATTTGTTTCTTTGAAAAAAGAAATTAAACAGGCTCTCTACTAAGAGGTGTAACTTATATTTGTACCTTTCTCCTTTTTGGGGGGCATATTAGGTATACATTCACATTCCTGGTGCTAAAAAATTGATGCTTGAACTGCCATTAGTGATTGGTACTATTCCATATAATGGTTTTGGCAGCAGAAACTCCAGCGTTGCCAGCCAGTTCAGTATGGATATGAGCTGGTTGACACTGACCCTGCCAGAACGGCCTGAAGGTAAAATATCTGAAGTTCTTTCATAATGAAGTTTTACATAGAAAATACCTTAGAACAGGACATATAAGTTATTAAGTTTTGAGTACTACTGCTTCTACAGCTATCTTTATTTTACTTATTACCAGAAAATTATAAAACATTATTTCTGGGCAGAGCCTTGAAAGTTTAACTTAACCAGGACACAAAGTTGCTGATGGCAGATTCAGGAATAAAATTTGAATAAAATTTGATTTGTAATAGTAAAACAAGGAAAAATCGTCAAAGTAAAACTGTAGAGTGTTATGTCTTTTCTATAGCTATATTTCAGTGATATTTGTTTACCTAGACTATAACAGATGTATCTCAAAAGAAGTAGAATATAATCAATATTTTGGTAGTTTTAATAAAAACAGAACCTATTAAATTCTTTGTTGTAATGGGCACAAAAACTGATGATTAGAGGAGAAATGCCATATTTTTATTTTGAAATTTAGTTAAATTTCTTATTTTTTTAAGAGTTCACAAGAGATTAATTTATTTTTGCATGGATTTCTTAGCTCCAACTCCACTTCTATTTCAGCACCACCAAATTATGCAGATGTGGTATCAGAGGAAGAATTTTCAAGACACATTCCTCCTTACCCGCAGCCTCCTAACTGTGAGGGAGAAGTGTGCTGTCCTATGTTTGCCTGCATACAAGAATTCCGGTTTCAGCCTCCACCTCTTTATTCAGAGGTAAACAAAGCAAAAGAAAATTTGACTCATATTGTGCTGTTTTCAAATAATCAGTTGCTGTGGGCCATTCACTAACGTACCTCTTGATGACCCATAATTAGTAGGGGATGCATATAAATTTGTTTTTGCAGTGGTGATAGATTACTACCAATTCATTCACCACATTTTCCACGTGACCTATGGCATCATATATAGCATTACTGATTGCCTTTAAGGTGTTTTATGTGGCCTAATAATACAGAGAACCTAAACAGCCTGCTGGAACTTATTAATAATAGGCTTTGACCAACTTGGCTTACAACCATCATGTAATTAGAGATAGATATTAGAATATTAGAGTAATTTTAAAGACTGGTATAAAAGTAATCTCAGTTTGCTTTTTTGTTTTTTGCAGGTTGATCCACACCCTAGTGATGTAGAAGATACCCAGCCTGTTTCCTTCATTCTCTGAACATCTTTCAGAAATCACCGTGTTCATCATCAAATTAGAATGTTGATTCTTTCCTTCTGTTTTTTTGGGAAAGGAGGGAAGATAAACTTTAGAACATAAATGAACACCAAGACTGAAGGCAACAGAAATTAAAGAATACAAGAACTTTCTAATGGGCCAACAGGATAGTTGCACAAGTTTACACGATGGTTGTATAACTCCATTAAAGGATGGCATGAAGATGTGAGTCACAGAATGTAATGAAAGTCCCGATGGTGATAGAGTAAGTGAAGGCGTGCATGCGCTGACCTGAGAGAAAGGAATCTGTAAACGGTGGAAACACTATGAGAGTTCCCAGAGTGTTTTAAGAAGTGGAACAAAAGTATTCTAAATTTAAGGTGATAAGGACTCTATGGGAGAAGACTTGATTTTGGAGAGGTAACAGGACAAGGGTGTGCATGAATAGGAGAATGGCCTGCTTTGAATACAAAGTGAGACCCTCAGGTTTCAGGGTCTTCATGATTTCTTACCATATTCAGGCCTGAAGTCTTCAAAAGTATCTTTTGATTCCTGATCATATGAGGTCCTGATGAAGTAATACAGTTTTCACTCTTTCAGTAGTAGGTTAAAATGTAGTTTATAAATTGGCTATACAGTATTGTAAAACCAAGAAAGAATTTCTTGAAAAACTTGTCAGTTCAAAGGAGAAAGATGACTTTCAATATGAAAACACCTTTTTGTTGAAAGCTATACATCTTACCCCCTTTAAGTACTTTAATGGGATATGTGTTTGATTTTCCTTATATCTTATCTACCTAAGAGCACATTAGGGAAAGAAGAGGTGAGGAAGTTGGATCTTCAGGATGAATGCCTTGATAACTACCCAGTCCAAAAAAACAAATGCATAAAGCCTTTTTTAGCCTACCTCTAGTGGAGTTACCAGATATGTTTTTAAAACCCTAGACCCGATCAGTCTTCTTTGGAGTTCTGCTACTTAGAGTAGCAGTCTCATCTCCACCTATCACTCAATCTGAAACTGGACCAAGGGAAAAATTCAGAAGATTAACATTAAATGGAAGTAAATATATGTATACCTAAGGGAATTTCAGGATAAACGCAGAATCACAAGAGGCTAGGAATGTCATGTTTTAAAGACACAGACTTGATTCTTGTTAAGAGACTTAAGTCTACTGATGGCATTCAGTGCCGTTGTACATTGTTATTCCAATTCTTCAGTAATTATATTTAAACTGTGATTTTCTTTATTGTTTTGGTGCAATATTTTATTATCATTTAACCTCAGGATATTCAGACCAACAGGATTATGTTGCTGCTAAAAGTCTGAGCAGTGTTTTTACTGTCTCCTGTTCCCCTACTACTCATAGTCACATGTTCACTTGCTTTTCCTCCAATCTATTGGCCATGAGCTAAGAACATTTCTGGACATTAAGTGGAAGGGGGATAGGTATTCCCATGATAGAGATTTTGGACCAGCTGAGTACTTTGGTTTTGTCCATGTCCTAAGGGTTTGACCTAGGAACCCTGGTGCTTTCCCTGCAGAATACTGTACTTCATACACCAGAATGACTAATTTATCTTTCATTCAGTATATTTACTTAAAAATAGAAAAGTTCTTCTAAGGTTAAATTTTGTATTTAAAAATTAGTTGACCATGTGATCAGGGATTTTTCTACAAACATTAGGTAAATGTTGTTTTTCACCCTTCAGGGCATACTTCTGTCTCTGTAATCATGGTAGAGGCATCTTGCATACTTCTCTCTTTGTAAGCCACTGTTTAAAATCACAATGCATAGCTGCTAGGCCAATAATTTTGGTACTGGAATTGTCACAAAACTATTCCTTGATTTGGTTTAGTGGGTTTTTTGGCTTTGTTTTTTGTGTGTCTTTAAGCAGGTATGTGTGTTTAAGTGATGTCTAAACAGTTTTATCTTTACTTTAGGAAAGATTGTCTTCAACTATTTATTGACTAATAAGTTGTAGTTTATATGCCTTGTGAAGACATTGTCCATCTCCATGATACCAAAACAAAGTGAAAGAAACAGGAGGAGAGAGAAAGTTTATTTTGCTCCATATAGAAAAGTAATTACTTAATGGAATCCTTCACTAGGATTCTTTTATTGTCTTTACCAGAGAAATCATGAAGTGCCCCTGCGAAACTGAAGCAAAGCTAACTTTGTAGTACTTAAGAGAGTAGTTAAAAGGTGTGACTTGCCTTATTGAATTGATATTGGTATAACTGACCTTAAGTGGTAGGTTGAAGATACTATTTTGTAGAAAATTCTACAATGGAACAGAAAATACCTGAGAATGAAGATAAACATTTAGCAGCTGTTATTTGCTTGTTTATTCTCCTCTTGCTTTTGTTTAGCTTGAAAAAAAAAAAAAGAGAAAACAGAAAAACGTGGCCTTAGAATTTTTTTTTTAAAGCAAAAATTTGAAATTGAAAATGTGCATCTTTTAGCACACAAAATCCTTCTGTGGGAAAAACTGTACTTTTTATGTTTTCATTTTGCACAATAAAAAACTCAACAGGCAGAGGTTATGTTTTTGATAAGTTAACTATGAAAGCTTTTTTTATTTTTATTATTAAAAATGTAACCCACAGAAAAAAAAAGATTGTATTTTGTACTCTTGTTTGAACCCTATGGGTTCCTTTTGTTAATAAAATCGTTACATTAATGCTCTGAGTTGCCAGTGGTTTTTTTTGTTGTTGTTTGTTTGCTTTAGTTTAAATTATTATAGACTTAGGGAAATCAATACAAAAAAAAAAGTCACTGCTGTTAAGATCCTTTTCTCTTTGCATGCGGTCATGAGGCAAGGCACAGCCCAGGGAGACTGAGCTTATTTTTATAGTGAGCTCAGTTTCCAAGGTAATCAGTTTTCAGCATCCCATGAAGAAAAGTCGTTGAGATGACTAAGGAAGCTCAAAGCTATATTGGTTTTTAAGAGAAAATATCATTTATTCCCATATCATAACAGCTACTTTCTAAAGCCTCCTGAGGTAAGTGACCAGAATCTCGCCAGGATTTATTTAGCAGGTGTGGTTTGCAGTCAAGGGACCCGTACTGGCACGCATTGACTTAAGTGAAGCCCCTCCTTTTTTACATAAATACTCAAGTGAATGCAAGCAATATGTTTTGTACAAGGAAGATGTGATGGTATGTCATCCCAGGAAAACTGCCCAGACCCTGTGACCTGAAAAATTACAACTTTAGTTAAGATCAAGAGTTAGTTTCCCTTTCCAGTTGTTTTTAATATGAGATGACATTACATAATAAATAGGTTGTTTCTATATCCACATTTGTAATAAACATAAATTGAAATATTTGTCTCATGCAATAAATATGGAGGCCAAATATATAAGATCGCCATCAAAATTGTAGTTTACATTGGAAAATTGTGGGTTATAAAATTTAGAACTAGGCAGGACACTACAAAGAAACTAGGACAAAACCATCACGTTACAAATGACACCAAAATCCAGAGAAAGTGTAAATTGAGAGCTTGACCTGAATTCTCTGTGAGGTCCCTGCTTACTATGAGATTTCCTGATTCTACAACTTTGTAGAAGAAATGGAAACAGCCATTGCTTTCAGTTGCATAGTTTGAGAGTTGCAGACCTGGATTTTAAGCATATGATTAGGTAAATCAGGAGTCTCCGATGTTTACAGCTGAAAGCCTGCCTCCTGGAAGGACGCTAGTCTTTAAATTGCTTCTCAAGTGTAGTTAGTAGCTGGAATCCATTTTGAAACGAGATGTATGTTTCTGTCTTTATATTTTGAAATAATTAGACTTAAGTGAATTGCAATAAAAGTACAGGGAAGTCCTGTGTACCCATCACTCAGTCTTCCCCAGAGATAACTATAGTACATTAGCAAAACATTGACAATGTATTGACATTGGCAGGACATTAACAATACAATTAGCCAGAGACCTTACTTGGATTTCACCAGTTGTTGCATGTACTCTTTTTTCTTGTGTATGATTTTGTGTGTAGTTCTATGACATTTTTATCTCATGTAGAGGTTTGTAAAATCATCACCACAGTCAAGACACAGAACTGCTGGATCACTACAAAGAAACTCCTTGGGCTGTCCCTCTGCAGTCTCTACCTCCCTCCTTCCCTTCTCTCAGCCCACCCCCTTATCTGTTTTCCGTCTCTATAATTTGTCACTTTGAGAATGTTAGATAAATAAAATTGTACCTTTTGAGACTGGCATTTTTTACTAAGCATTACACCCCTTAAGATCCACATAAATTGCTCCATACATAGTTTTCTTCCTTTGTGTTTTAGAGGCATTTGCATTTTACTTTGCATTTTGTAAAGGAACTGTGTAACCATTTATATGCACATGATATCCTTGTAAATATTTTTGTTTTGAGAATTACTTTTTATGTAGAAAATATATAAATGCAGATTTACAGAAACTTGTAGGGGCTTATTTTTAACTTGTCAAAATACTTGAAGTATTTTGCCTTGAAATAAGCTATCGCATTATAAATGAGCAAGATATGCCTGTGATGAAATTATAAAACATGAAGAAACTATATTGGGATTCTGAATCTGATAAATTATAACATAAATTGTGAAAATTATGCAGAAAAGAGTTTGCCTTGTGTGTTTGTGTACTAAGTTTTATGGGGGGTTACTTCTTTCTGATCTCTTATTCATTCATTTAATGAGATGATGTCTTGCTGTGTTGCCTAGGCTGTTCTCAAACACCTGGGCTCAAGCAATCCTCTTTCCTCAGCCTCCCAAAGTGCTGAGAATAAAGGCATGAGCCACCACACCTGGCCAATTTTTTTTTTTTTTTTCTTTGTAGAGATGAGGTTTCACTGTTACCCAGGCTGGTCTTGAAAAAGTCTTTAATTACAAAATATGTGCTTATTCTTAATGAAACAGTATTATAAAACAAGTACTATCAAGTTTTTCTAGATGGAAGAACTCTTATTTTATAAAAGCCGATACAGACTAATATTTCCCCAAAACCAGACATGAATCTGCTGGTACTGAGAGGAGGCAGCAAAACAGTGATGGGGTTAGATATAGATTTAAAAAAAGGACTGATTAGTGCCCATTTCCAGAATATCACTATAACTGAATTCATCATGACCTTTTCCTTGTGTCTGTGTTCACTGATGGAGATGTCAAGGAGACAAGATGTCTTACATGGGCAGGAAGTGACATGTTTAAGGCAGCATCTCCCACTGGGAACAGATAAAACATAGATGCTTCTCTCATCCTTGCAAATGCTCTCCACCTCCACCCCGCCCCCGCACACACACACCATTATCTCTTATTTTTTCATTCATACCCTTTACCTTCAGACTGGGTCTATCTCAGGTAAGAATTTCAGCTCTGTTACAAAAGAAAAGAAAGAGCAAAAAATAAGGAAAGAAAGCAAAAGAAAAAAGATGAAGAAGAAACAGATCAAAGGTTTCTGCTTCCAGTAATGTGCTGAAAAAGAAAACATTTGTCCCCAATTTCTTACTAATCTACCCCCAAATAGTACAAGAAGCAGGGAGGTTTCAGAGAAATTTTATTAAATGAGTAAACAGAGGGTAGTAGATGCCATAAATATATCTTTTTCTTTAAAACAAAGACACTGCATGGAATAATAAGCATTTCTTCATGCTGCCCAAGCCCATTTGATCTTTAATGACCAAAAGACATAGGGTGTTCTAGATCAAAGTAATAATGATCACATTAATAGCAAGTCATATACATAGTGGTTAGTAAGTTCTTTACATACATGAACTCACTTTTCCATAACATGAAGGTCTCCACGTTTTTTAAAAATTCTTTTAATTTTAGATGCTTGAATCCATCTAATTGTCTGCTTAAGCGTTCTTATTATAGCTTATTTTTATTAGCTATTACTGCAAATATATGGACTTGCTT